GAAAGCTTCCCTTTCAGATACAAAATGGACGCCATCTAAAGATACACAGGGTGAACCGTCTAACGTGATCACCTTAGATTATTCTGTTGTTAATGGATCGATGGACATTTCTTTTCAGTCGCATAATAGGTTCAAACTCGACCTTAAGATGATTATAGTAGACTTTTTTATCGGTCCTTTTTTTCCAAGCTTTCAAGGTCACCATTAATTTTTTATAGGTTAACTTATACGTCCTGTAAATCTTTACGTCCATATTGTAGAGGATGTTGAGAAGAATTCAACGAATACAATGAAAGAATATTACTCGTTTCAACGTCCGCTAAAATTTGGGTGTGAAAAAATTATAGTCTGATCTGTGAAAAATTGAAGATAACCTCAAAATTTCGAAACGAACGATGTAGACAAACCTATAACTTTTTACGCCCATATTCTGGAGGATGTTGAGAAGAATTCAACGAATACAATGAAAGAATATTACTCGTTTCAACGTCCGCTAAAATTTGGGTGTGAAAAAATTATAGTCTGATCTGTGAAAAATTGAAGATAACCTCGAAAATTTCGAAACGAATGCGCTGATAAAGATGTTCTCTAATCATTTAAAAAATTTCGATCGGCTCACTAACAACAGAATAATTGATAGTGATCATGTTATACGGTTCACTCTGTATATCGGGCATGATAAATGTGACAATTCTTGTCACACGAAAAAATTAAAAAATCATCGTGATACTGTTGTCCTCAGTTTGTATTTAAATATCGTACAGTATAATATATCGAAGTAGCGTAATAAAATTTTAATATGTAGCATCGAACAGAATAGTAATGGTACTTGGATCGACGTGTATATTTTAGTATAGTTAGTAGAAGCTGTTGTGTATCTCCAGAGAATTGTTTGACAAGAGTAAAGATTGACTCGAAGGTGCTGAGATTGACTGGAAGACATAAATATTGACCTAGTTAAAGCAAGAAAATTGACTGCTTGCAGAGGTAAAGGGTTGATCAGTTGATTGATTCCTACGTTTCTATAAATATCGCATAGCAATGCTATGCAATACTACTGACAGAGAAATGAATATTCATAATTAAAAGTTATGGTATCAACTTGGAATCGACGTTGATGTTGTTGAGCTTTGAAACGGAAATCGAATACGGTTCGGTACCCTATATTCTTATATCGGTTCGATTTCGAAAATGAAAAATGAATAAATGAAAACATTTATTTAAGCAGTTTTAATTTGCGAGAAATAGGCTGTCGGACATTGAAGCACTCTTTCTGAACCATCATTTCTGACACTTCTTCGTAAATTTTACGTGAATTCTGTTAAAGCAGGTTTCTTTAGATGAATAATCGGAGAATCTTCTACCGTTGAAAAATTAATTTTAACGTTAACATTAACACTAAACGTACCTTTTAAAATTTGATTTTCTCGTTCTTGTTCAAAATAAAACTGTAAATATGTAATTTTTTTTAATTATTATCTAAACACTATTTTCTGCGTTGTTCCCTATATACAATTGACAATCACCTGTACTCGTTTCGGGAAAGTGTGATTATTTCATATCCGGTCATTTGACCGCCTGCGGTAAGAATAGGTGCACATAAAGTGTCGGTACGATTAGTGTTAAGAAAGTTATGCAAGAAGAAACAAATTGCACAGACCTAACAAATGAAACGAAGACATGAAACACGTGTCGATTGATGGAAAAAAAAAAAAAAAGAAAGTTGTTCGTACTAAGTAAGTTAAACCTCTCACCTTTAGCCTTTCTACCTTCGTAGTCGCTGGAATCTGACAGATCGCTGTAGTAGGTCCGATCCCTCGATCTCGGTTTGCTCCTATTACGATTAGACGAACTCGACGCGTTTCCGATATCTACTCTGAACCTGCTCTCGGAAATCTTGTGTCGCGGCGACCGAGCCCTTTCCTCCGTTTCTTTGTGCTTTGGCTTTCGTATCTCACCGATATGCTTCGACGTGTTGCCGTCGCGTTTCCGGGACCCGCTGTGGCGGCGTCGTTTCCTCTGACGGCTGGGGGTGCGTTTGCGTCTTCTCTCGCGACGCTGCCTTCTCTGCTTCTCTCTGAACGATTAAGTGGGATTTTACTCACGTGAAATACAAAAAAAAAAGAGGTGGTGTTTGAGTTTTTCTGCCTTGAGATGTAGCGCAATTTGCGGCACAGGAATTAACCGGGGACGTTTTCTAATGGGGTGATTTATGTCGGTGTTAGTGGAACAGGGAGAGTTTTTAGAAATTAGCACTGAATTCTGAGGGTTTTTCGAGATAAGACTTTTTAGAAATTAGTGTTGAATTGTAGAGGTAGCCTTCGAAGTAAGAATTTTTAGAAATTAGTATTGAATTCTAAGTTTAGTATTGTGATTTATTAGTATTGAATTCTAAGTTTAGTATTGTGATTTATTAGTATTGAATTCTAAGTTTAGTATTGTGATTTATTAGTATTGAATTCTAAGTTTAGTATTGTGATTTATTAGTATTGAATTCTAAGTTTAGTAGGTCTTTTGTATGTTGAATTCACAAGGAAAAGGGATCTCCTTTTGATGGGCAAATAAAATAGAAACAAAAGTTTTCAGGTAACAGGATAATTTATCTAGCGTTGATATGCATTTTATCAACAAATGGTAACTAAATAAGCGTAATATTTTGTTGATTTTACCATCGTTGTTATTTCTAGAAAAAAAAAAGAAAGATATCTAAAAATATGTCTTTCATTTTATATAAATTTAAAGAAAGCGTAAATTAAAAAACATCATGTGTTGTATATTTACTATTCGAGAAAATTTTCTTATGGAACTTTATAATTTCTACTGCAAAGTAGCGTTTTCTTATATGAAACTCTTATTTGTTCGTTTTATCGTACTATATTAAACACTTCTTCGAAAAGTGGCGGGCAAGAGTACAAACAGAGAAGAAATTGTATGCAGGATTAATGTCTTTTCATTTGTGCAAGCTTGTTTCTGCGAAAGGTAACGAACAAGCGGAACTTTCATTTTAAACGGATATACATGCAAATGAAATTTACGTAATCGCAATTCCATTGTGTTTAAAATGCTAAATTTCGTTGTATCTTAACGTTCGCAAGAAAAAGAAGATGAAGTAAACTCGTTAACTGTTGCAAAATTTATACAAATTCGTGTTGAGTACTAGTGAACAGTTTAACATCAGTTTGAAAGTTTATTGAACATTGGCAAATTACTGTTATTAAAGTATTTGTGAAATCATCGTAATTTCTGTGATATTTTATTTTATAATATTATTTATG